AAGTGCCAACTCTTTTGATAGAAAAGATGAGAAAGAAAGGAACAAAAGAAATCATAGATAGATAGATATATAGATAGATAGATAGATAGATAGATAGATAATTGAGAGGGAGAAAGAGGAAAAGAGAAAGAGAAAGAGAGAGAATGGAGGAATCCATTGAAATTCTTTTGACCTGGTCTTCCCCGCCCATCGGTGATAAAGGAACTGAGGAGACTCTTCGTGGCGTTTTTTTGCAGCAGATTGCAACGCGCCGTCTTGATATTAAATAAAAAGGATTTATGGACGGGGCGGGGGTTGATTGTAGCAGCGATTATGAAAAATAGATAAAAGTCGGGTTTGGGATGTTTTATAAGCGAGAAAAAATTCTGTGGCGGGTTGAAAGGATCAGGAAAGAGAAAGCGGGAGGGGGAAGGTTATCAGATCCCGTAAGCTTCATGATCACGTGCTCGCGAATCGACGACTGTTCACGGTTGAAGAAGGCAGCGGTTCCTTGAGATTCCCGCCTCGACCAGATCTTGTTCATGTCGCTGATCGGAAAAAGAGCTCAAATGCAGGAAATGATTTCCCAGCGAATTTCTAGAAATTTCTAGAATTTCCAGAATTTCTTTTTTCGTTTTTTTTCCTTGCCGCTAAATATGTTTATTACAGAATAAGAGAGTATTAAACACATTTGATTATTAAATACCCCCACCAACGCACAGGTACACATTAAGCACACAGACACACACACAAGAATGAATCACACAACAAACACAGAAAGAGACTTGTACAGAGACAAATGTGCATACACACATATGCAGACAGACACATACACACGACGCACACAACAGATACAGGCAACACATAGAGAAACTACACACACACACAGAATCACCCACATTGGAAACAGACACGAACACATACAGACACAGTTACGCACACAGGCACATACATACTGACACGCCCAAATACAGATACAGGCATATACACTCAGCCACACACACAGAGGCACACACACACAGGCGCATGCACAGACACGCATATATATACACACACACGTACCCAGACACACGCACAGAGACATGCACACATACACACAAACACGCCCCAATTCAGATACAGTAACATTCAGGCACACACAAACAGGTACACACACATACACACACACACACACAGGCACATGCACAGACACGGACATATATACACACACTCAAACGGAACCACACACAGAGACACGTACACACGGACACGTCCAAATTCTGATACAGTCATACCTAGACACACACACACAAACAGGTGCACGCCACATGTATGCATAAATTTAGAGAGGCACATGCATAGACACGCCCACATTCACACTCACGCACACAGACACATACGCACAGACACGCATACATACACACATGCACTCAGACAGGCCCAAATTCAGATATAGGCACACACACACGCACGCAGGTACAGGCACAGACACGCATACGTACACACTTGCACACAGATTCACATTGACAGATGCACACACAGACTCATACTGATACCGATGCAGGCATATGCACATAAACACGCACATACACTCACAGATGCACTCAAATTCACGCACACATAGAGACATACACAGAGGCACTCATACAGATACACAAAGAGAGACGGGCGCGAACACATACATACACACAAACACACTAATTTGCATCCTAAGTAATTTCATTTTGGGAAAAGGAATTGTAATGTCGAATGTATAATCGAAACTAACATGATAAGCTCTTTTTCTATGTGCCGTGTCCCTTCAGGACGTAGGGGATCATGGCTCTTCACTATTTCCTGTCCTTTGTAGCTATTCGTATGATTTGTCTTTTTGTCATCTCTCCTAAACCCTGTTCTGCTATCCATCTGCGCAATTTCAGCCTTTTCCTTCTTTTTCTTTGTGCCGTGTCCTTTCAGGACGTGGGAAATCATGGCGCTCCACTATTTCCTGTCCTTTGTAAGTTTTGTCTTTTTGCTATCTCTCCTAAACCCTGTTCTACCATCCAGCTGCACAAACTTCTTCTTCTTCTTCTTTGTGCCGTGTCGCTTCAGGACATGAGAAATCATGGCTCTCCACTACTTCCTGCACTTTGTAGCCTTTCGTAAGTTTTGTCTTTTTGCTATCTTTCCTAAACCCTGTTCTGCCATCCATTTACACAACCTTCTTCTCCTTCTAGGGTGATCATGGCTCTCCTCGACTTTCTAGCTTGTGTGGCCGTTACCAGTCTCCTGTACCTCAATTTGCTCAAGCTCCTGTCTCCCGTCGTCCCACCTTCAATTCACACATGCTCGTCAGTTCAGGGCCTCGCTGACTTGCCCTGCCTCTCTTGCTCTAGTCGATGAAATGGGTCAGCGACAGCAAAGTTCAACGCAAAAGGCCGAGGTTTGAAAAGAAAAGGATACATTTCCAAAAAAGATCCCGTTCCATGAAAGGAAATTGATGCTGTGCGGGCTGTGGCATCATTGGGGCATTTTCTTCATTTAGAATTCTTGAAACGCAATG